ATACCCCTAATATGTAGCAAACGGCTTCAATTTTATTGCTGCATTTTTGGAAACTTTCTATTTAGAAAAACAAAACAGTGTAAAATTTCATATATAAAAATTTTCATAAAACGAATCTTCAATGATAATATTTTCAAATTACTTAAAACATATACTAAAAGTGGAATAAAAACCACACTAAATTATAAATTGCTATATGTAAATATTTGAAGAGTTCTAAATTTCTTACAAAGAGATGTCTAATTTGTTTTTTTTTTTTACCAAAAACCTGGACATTTTGCGTCCCGGCAGGTTTTGTACCGGGACCGGGACATAGCTCTTAAATCCGGTACAGTCCCGCCGAAAACAGGACGGTTGGCAACCGTGGGCTACATGCCCAAATCATTGCTACGTGTTAATATTTAATTAAAATTTGTATATTTATTAATTCCTGCAAAATTGGGCCATTTAATATTGATATTAACACATTACTTCGCATTGTTTACATATTTTCCTATGCGTTTTGGCATTTCTCTCTCGCAATTGCACCAAGATGACGTCACGCAAAAATTACGCTCAAAAATCCTCTCTAATGGGCGCAATCTTGTATTCTATCATTCTTTATATGAAAACAACAAATTTTTTTGCTCAGTTCTACTCATCATTTATTATTACTCTCCCCTTTTAAATTCATTTTCGTTTGTTGCGATTCGATTCTTCTTTCTCGTGATATAGTTTTAATATGCAGTAGACTGCATTACCATACAAAAAAAATCTGTTCTGTGTTTCCATTGGAATTATAAAATCTTATCTTACTAATCTTACTCTTACTAATATTATAAATGTGAAAGTTTGTATGTTTGGATGTTTGGGACATCATCACGCCGAAACGACTGAACGGATTTGCATGAACTTTTGTACGAAGATAGCTTATGGGCCAGATTGGTTAATAGGCTATTTTTTAAGAGTTTCCACCTGTTAAAAAGTTTAATTTATTTAATATTCGAGAACGACTGAATGGATTTGCATGAAAATTTGCACACAGATAGCTTATGACCTAGATTGGAAAACAGGCTACTTTTCTTAAGAGTTGCCACCTGTTAAAAAAGTTTCATTAAATTAATACGCGGAAACGACTGAATGGATTTGCATGAAATTTTGCAAGCAGATAGCTTATGACCTACAGTGGAAACTAGGCTAATTTTTTTGGAAGAGTTGCCACCTGTTAAAAAAGTTTAATTAAAGTAATAAGCGGAAACGACTAAACGGATTTGCATGAAATTTTGCACACAGATATATTATGACCTAGGTTAGAAAGTAGGCTACTTTTTTTAAGAGTTGCCACCTGTTAGAAATGTTTAATTTAATTAATACGCGGAAATGAGTGAACTGATTTGCATGGAAGTTTTCACACAGATAGCTTATGAGCTAGGTTGAAAAATAGGCTACTTTTTTTAAGAGTTACCACCTGCTTATGACCTACAGTGGAAAATAGGCTAGTTTTTTGGAAGAGTTGCCACCTGTTAAAAAAGTTTTAATTAAATTAATACGCGGAAACGACTGAACAGTTTTGCATGATATTTCGCACAGAGATAGCTTATGACCTATGTTGGAAAATAGGCTACTATTTTAAGAGTTATCACGTATTAGGAAAGTTTAATTAAATTGATACGCGTAAATGACTGAACTGATTTGCATGAAAGTTTGCACACAGATAGCTTATGACCGCTACTTTTTTAAGAATTGACACCCATTTGAAAATGAAATTTTGCTCAAAGATGGTTTATGACCTGGATTGAAAAATAGGCTACTTCCTTAACCGGTTTTCCAATCAGAACGAAATTTAGTACACTTACTACGGATTTCGGAAGGATGGTCTTAGACTGAAAGTAAGTCCGGTAACCTAAGGCCCCTCCCATACAAATTGGAATTTTCATATTACATACATATCTCTGGAAGTATTTGTGGGGGAGAACTGAAACTTGGTATAGTGATATGTATGAGAAATCAATGTTGGCATTAATCGATTGATGTTTTAATCAGTTAGTTAATTCGATTAAATTGAATATGATTACAGTTAATCATGATTAATTTTAATCTGACTAAACAGTTAATCGTAACCGCGATTAAAAAATTAATTTTTAATCATTAACTCTTAATTTGATCAAGTAGGTTTGGTGATTAATTAAGTTTCCCTGTGCACACAAAGCAAGTTAATCCGGTATGGCTAAGTCGGGTTTCCTCGTCAACTCGGACAAACTAGAAAAATTAATCAGATTTTATTTTAAGTTGGATTAACGATTAATGTTTTAGATTAATTTAACTTAATCGCAGCCAGCGATTAACGATTAAAAAAATGTTATCATTAATCGTACAGTTGATTACGACTAATTAATTTTAATCGTCAAACCCGATTAACATTTTAATCGTTAATTTTTAATCGTTAAGTTTGCCAACACTGTGCGAAATCATGTTCATATTCACGGAGAAAAATGGAGGTTTTTGGAAAAGAGGCGTAGCACCTCCCATACTGACTGAAAGTTTCATATTGCATATCCCTTCAAATGTTTGGGGTAAAGTACTCAAGGTTGGTATGGAAATACATATGTATGTATGTATGTGAAACTAATACCATACTCATGGAGAAAAATGAGAGTTATTGGAAAAGGTGGTGTAGCAACTCCCATGCAAATAGATTTTTCTATGCTGCATATCTCTGGAGGTGTTTATTGCAGAGGACTGGAACTTGGCACCGAGATGTGTATACAAAATTAATTCCATACTCATGGAGAAAAATTTGCGTTATTCGAAAAGGGGACATGGTTCCTTCCGTACAAATTTACTGTTTTATACTGCTTATCTCTAGAGGTGTTCATGGTAGAGTACTGGGATTTGGTACTGGGGTATGTAAAATCTATTCTAAATTCATGGAAGAAGATTAGGGTTATAAGAAAAAGGGGCGTGACACTTCCAGTATAAATTTACTTTTTGTTGCCACATATCCCTGAAAGTGTTTGTGGAAGAATACTGGAACTTGGTATGGAGTTGCGTATACAAAATGTATCAATTGCTCATGGAAAAAATTTGAGTTATTAAAAAAGGAGGCAGTCGCCTCCCATACATACTAAAAACTTCTTAATACATAATAAGTATTTTAAATTTGTTATGGAGATTTATTTTATAAGTGCCGTACTGACAGTATAAATTTCATTAAATGGAAAAGGGAGAGCCGGGTTCGGCCTTATCATCTAAAGCTCTCTTGAGGCATTTGCTACAGTAATGAGAAGTGATATTTTATCAAGGTTAGGTTACCTAATTTGAGTTGGAAATATTAGAACCCGCCGTGGAACCTCCAAGAAGGTTACACGTTCACGCGTCGTATACCTGGAACCATTTTAAGGTAAACTTAGAGGGATTGATATCTTTCGTATGCCTAGCGCGCAGACGAGATTTTGTAATTTCATAGTTTTAAACGGCCTAAATACCTTAACTCGCTTAAAAAATAACGAAATTGGCACAGAAATAAAATCTAACATCATTAAATTATTTTTCATATTTGTATGAAAGCGCGGAGTGAAACCCGCGGGTATAAGCTAGTCTATTATATTTGAAGACTTGGACCAAAATATTTCGAAAAAATATTAAGATTTATGGGAGCCGATTTGAAAATACCCCCAAAACTGTAGTTTTTTATAAATAAAAATAGTTTTTTTTTTAACTATTTTCCAAGATTGGTATAAGAAAAACTTGAATAACTGGACCAAAAGTTGTGAGGTGTCATTATAAAGGTTTTTATTTCTTTGGAATAAACTCATTCAAAGTATGAAAGAGACAAGTAGGATGAAAAAGCGTCATTCCAAGTTGAACTACTTAAGATGTGTTAGTATTTGAAAAAAGGGACGTGAATGAGTTTTTTTTTGCAAATAAATAGAAAGAGTGGGAAAGTACATTTCCACTGATACCTCACAAGTCTAAATCGGAATAGTTTTGAAAGAGTTATTCAAGTTGTTCCTAAACCAATCTTTGAAAAAAGCTAAAAAAAAATCATCAAAAATCTCATATTTACAATTCTTTTGAAGATTTTTTATGCTTAAACTGGTTTGTCATCTGAGGCCATTTTTTTAAAAACTTCCTTATGGAACTATTTTTATTCATAAAAAACTCCATTTTTGGAGGTATTTTCCAATCGGTCCAGCTCACGCAAATCTTATCCGAAATATTTTGGTGGACGTCTTCAAATATAATAAGTTTTGTAATTCCGGCGGAAAAAACGCAACTTTTTTGGTGATGCAGTCCAGTTTAATGTGCAGTACGTCGGTATTACTTCATAAGCATGAATCATAATAGCATGTGTAGAGGCTATTCAATCGTTATAAGCAAAAAAGTTTTGTGTATTGATTTATACTTGTAAATATTGTTTATTTTTTTTACTTTTGTTAAACACAAATTGCTTTGAAAAAAGTGTCCTTTGATTAAAAAAAATTTAGTGCTTTTAGTGTGGTAAACCGCTTTTTCCAAGGTTTGGTGCTTTTTGAAACTCAAAAGTTGGCAACATTGCCAAAGACAGCAAAATAACGGGGCAGTATAGCGAGTGCAGTAAACTGCATCGGTTTACATGCTCAATGTTAGTGCGCCGTGATATAAGTATCAAATATTATTTTAATAATAAAATTGTAGTTTAAAAAACTAAAACCTCCCTATTATAATTGCCATTCGTACTGTCATCAGGTATGTAACTTGAGAATAGAAAACGCTGCATCTTTTAGGCGCATCAATATTACATATTTACATCCCGAGCTAATAAAAGGTAGGTAAAAAAACATACGTACTTATACTTATTTTATCTCATAAATAAGCTTTTCTCTATTAAAGAATTCTAAGTTAAGAAAAATTGGGGTAAGTTGTTGGTAAGTTTAGGTAACGCAGACACAGTTTAATTATACATACATACTACATAGAATTTCACTGCAGTCGCTGCATTGTCGTGCAGTAGTTACACTCGACAGTAAATGCAGTAGTACTTCATGTTTTATTGCAGCAATGTTTTATTCAAGCACAATTTTGATTCACTATTTGCAGAAGTCCGCATTTGACAGTATTTGAAAACTCTGTGGAAGTGAACTATTGCGAAATTAGCAAAAGTTTTGATTGCCCTTCCAAAACCATTTATGCAGCCCTCTACTAGATAATTTTGGTTCACTTCGGAAATAGCAACTGAAAGATAATAAGAGCCGTGTATTATGAAAGTGGCATAAGTCATTTCCACCTCTTGAGCCTAAACGTTTAATTACTATTAAACTGAATGCATCTGAAAATCGTTCTGCTGTCATAAGCTAAATAAAAAACTTTTTACTTTCGGCTGATGAAGTTTAACGAATAACAGAAGCGTCTAGATACAAGTAAATGATCACTGTATTTAAACGGCAGGAAATGACTTATGCCACTTTAAAAGTAAACGGCTCATATGTGTGCATACAAAAAAAGTAGGATTTAAAAATATTTATTTTAAAACCTAACTTAACTACTTTTTCACTAAAATATTTTCATATTATACACTAGTATAGGGTATTTGGATTTTTTCATTTCTCTTTTCGCATATTTAGAGTTTAGTTCTATGGTTTGTTGGGCAGTGTTAACTGATACTTGGCCCATTTATGGCTCCAATCGACTACGCGGATAACAGCCATTGGGCAGTGCTTGGGCTATCGCACTAATATTTTCTACTTGCTTCTCCAAATCGTACAAATCCTTCTCGTACTTGTCGATCCATTTCTTTTGTGCGTTGCGCAAATCACGGAACTTCTCAATTCGACCGGTCAAGTTGACACGATTCAATTCGAACTCCACTTGATCGAGGCGACTTTCTACACGACGGGAAAATAAAGAGGGGAGGAATCAAAAAAAGAAAAAATGTAAAAACAAAAGTTGCAGTTGTTAATTAGGGGGTAAGTACTAACCGAGTTTATCTAAATCTTCGACATTAATGTCCTTTAGATTCTCTAATTCCTCCTTGATGTCATCCAATTCTTGTATGGACTTATCAATCTGACCCTGTGCTTCTTGTGCACCGGCCTTGGCTTGTCCTACCTACGACGTAAAGAATGGAGGGAAGAGGTTATTACCTCCATTTTCACTTCGTTGTGCTTACCTTTCGTTTGGCATCATCGACGAGGCTGTCGTCTTTGTTTGCCGATTCATCCAATTTGGCGATGCTGTTTTCAGTGATTTGCACACGATGATTGAGTTGATCAGCTTCGTTACGTAGCTTGCGGGCATTTACTTTGGTATCGTTTGCCTTTTTACGAATTATTTCCGCATCCTGAAGAGAAAATTGCAAAATGTCTTAACATTTGAATT